ACAGGACTCCACTGCTTAGAGGGAGCATTCCACAAGAAGTCATGAATAGATGCTCTGCTGTTGGAAACCATTTTTAATTCGTACACATCAGCCTAAACACCCACAATTCTTTTTTCCCCCTCACTTCTTAAGAAATACAGAGACTGCCCCTAACCTGGATAGCTCGGCAAGCCCGATCTTGTCAAATCTCTGAAGCTAAGCAGGGCTGACCCTGGCAAGTATTTGGATGGGAGAACTCCTTGGAATACCAGCAGTTGGGAGGCCGGGGCAGGCTTTATTCAGCCACCTCTCTGAATATCCTCCAGGCCTCCAGTAGGGGTCAGTCACCAGACGCAAGTAGCGGCAAGTACTTGAAAGGGCAACCTCCAAGGAATACCAGAGGTGGGCAGACATTTGGAGGTGCGTTCTGTATAAAAAACTGGGTCTGCTTCTCCGTAATGTGTGAAACCGCCCTTTTGAGAAATGTCCACGTAAAAAGAAGAAGAGATTGGATTTATACTCCACCCTTCACTACCCGAAGGAGTCTCAGAGCGGCTTACAATCTCCTTTCCCCTCCCCACAACAGACACCCTGTGAGGGAGGTGGGGCTGAGAGAGCTCTCTCGAGGACTGCTCTTGAGAGAACAGCTCTGAGAGAACTTGTAAGTGACCCAAGGTCACACCAGCAAGCTACATGTGGAGGAGTGGGGAATCAAACCCGGTTCTCCCAGATTAGAGTCCGCGCTCCTAACCACTACACCAAACTGGCTAACAGGATAAAAACAACCACTGCTCTTAGCATTGGTATACCGCTTTCAAGCAGTTGAAGTGCTTCGTAGACATTATATTGGTAGCAGTTCTTACAACAGCCCGATAAGATTGGTCAGTATATTTTATCCCTTACTGGAGATATCAGGGGTTTGAGGTCAAGAGGATGGTTTGCCTCAGGCCACCGAATAAGTTCATGGTGAGGCAAGGTTCACACGGAGAATGTTCTGATTCATTGCTTAGATTATTTAAACATTGCTCTACAATTGCCCTCATTTCTTTCATCGTTATCTTGAGCAATGGAAATTCCTCTTTCAAATTCCTGGGATGACTGACAAGCAGAGACACAGGGCCACTGAAGGTATGCTAAGAGGGCTAAATAACATTGGCAGATATCCAGGGTCAACTTCTCCTATCTAAGCATAAAGGATAAATAGAAATTGTCCTCAGTCTGTACATGGGTCCTGGTTGCAACATTCACAATAACAAAACAGACTACAGGGATCCCCAACCTTTTTGAGCCCATGGGCCACTTTTGGAATTCTGACACAACATGATGAGCAAACCCACAAAATGGCTGCAGCAGGAGGCGGAGCCAGGACAAAATGGCTGCTGCAGCATACCTTTTGTCACACACTACACTGGTGGCAACTGCTGCCACAGCAGCGTTTTAAAACATCTGCACAGTCAATCAAATCTCCAGTAGCCAATCAGAGCCCTTACTGGGCAAAAGCCCCCCTGGCAGGCACCAACAAAGGCTGGGGGGGGGCAACCAGGACACCCACGGACTCCACGTTGGGGACCCCCGGACTACAGGCTGGTCGATTCTCTAAAAAGTTAAACATCTTCCAAAACATGTAACCAGGAACAGTAAAATGGCTGAATGGATGACCACTGACCTGCCACTTGCTTCGAGAGACAAAGAATTTGAGCTGGTTTGTATCTATAAAATGAGATTCCTCGAGGGAGGGTTTATTCTGTAAAGGGGGAGGGGAAAAGTAAGGATGAGAATACCATCACAGTAAAAATCTCGATCTTAAGGTCTTTAGTAAAGGTAAAGGTAAAGGTTCCCTTGCTCGAAAGCCAGTCGAGTCCGACTCTAGGGTTGCGGTGCTCATCTCCGTTTCAAAGCCGAAGAGCCAGCGCTGTCCGAAGACGTTTCCGTGGTCATGTGGCCGGCATGACTAAACACCAAGGTGCACGGAACGCTGTTACCTTCCCACCGAAGTGGTACCTATTTATCTACTTGCAATTTCTTGCTTTCTCCGATTAAGGCCATGTTCTGGGTATCCCCATTTTCAGGGGAGCTGCACACTAGAAACAAGACCTTGCTCACAGCACTGGATCTGGACCGGCGGGTTGGGGGGCCTTTTGGCAGGAAAACCCCTGCTCCCTTGGGGGACCTGGCAGCCCTACTTGCGGGCCGCACAAGAGCCCCGGACGGGCCGCATCTGGCCCTCGGGCTTCATGTTCGACACCCCTGCCCTAGAGGCTTAAAGGGTGGGCCCTCTCTCTTTCCCACACCGAGAAGCAACCTTTCCCGACTTACCACAAACCAGCTATGGGAGAGGCATTCCCTGGCACTTGGTCTTGCCCTGGAGACACAGAAAAACACGTTGTAGCTTGCCGATTCATAGTATGCATTTCTATTCCAGCATTGTTTAAGTGAGGATATCGCCACACAGGGGAAAAAAACCCTTCTGCGCGGGTGAATTATTTTAATAAGGGCCTTCTGGTAAACTGGAAACACTGTGGTGTACGGGGTCAGTTTAGAGTGGCCTGGTGGTGGCTGGAGACCTCCTGGGGTTACAACTGGACTCCAGGCAACAGAGATCAGTTCGCCGAGAGAAAATGGACACTTTGAAGGGTGGACTCTATGGCAGTGTACCCCATTGGAGCACCTCCTGTTCCCACAACCCGCTGTCCTCAGACTCCACCCCCAAAATCTCCAGGTACTTCCAAATCCAGAACCGGAAGCCCCAGATCTGCTTCCATCAACCCTAACCCTCACCTTTCTCCCTCCTCTACCTTCCTCTGCCCCCCTCGCCCTTCTCCACCGTCTAGCTCAGGGGTGGCCAAACTTGCTTCACGTAAGAGCCACAGAGAAGAGACGTCAGATGTCTGAGAGCCACAAGACGTGGACACAGATTACACATTTTTACTGGGAAATAGGCAGATGTGCTTTTTGTTAACATTAAATGAGACTGCCCAAAAAATAATAACAAAAGCGGTCAATGCGGGTATGGGATCACGATGTTTATTTGTCCAACGATATTTGTTCGCTAGTGATGTCTCGCTTCCCCGGCCGCCCTGCTGGGAGCTACGCAATATGTGTGACAGAGCTGCATGCGGCTCTCGGGCCACAGTTTGGCCACCCCTACTCTAGAGAGTTTCTATAACAGTATTACCATTGCGGTGGGCACCACCGATGGAAACGCCCTTTAGATTTAAAAGTGATAAATAAACAGTACGCATTTATTAGATTTTTTTACTCCATCCTTTCTCCCGGGATATTTGAACGTGGCACAAACATTTTCCTCCCATTCTCATTTATCCTTACAACAATCCCAAATGTACGCACCTGGAGCTGCCTTAGACCAAGTCTGACCACTGGTCCATCTAGCTCACTAAGGGCGAATCTGCATTTGCATTTTAAAGTCATTTTCGTGCTGCTGTGATGCCGTCTTTCTCTATGCTTGTTTGAATGTTGTTTGGAGAGGATTCTTTTAAAGCAGTGCAGAGGTGCAATGACAGTGGAGCTGCCCCAAAGGATGATAAACATATGTGGACGTGCGAAAGTATGCTAGCACTCTTGAGGTGTGAAAACGACACCAAATGTAGACAGCTTTTTTGAAGATGGAGTCAAAATGCTGGGACACCGGTGGGAAAGACAAATGCAGATTCCGCCTAAGTTTCCACCATGGACTGGCAGCAGCCCTCCAGGGTCTCAGGGCAGAAACAGAATTTGGTATCCGAAGAAGAGGAGGAGGAGGAGGAGATTGGATTTATACCCCGCCCTTCACTCGGAGTCTCAGAGTGGCTTACAAACTCCTTTCCCTTCCCCTCCCCACAACAGACACCCTGTGAGGAAGGTGGGGCTGAGAGAGCCCTTTCGAGGACCGCTCTTTCAAGGACAGCTCTGGTCAGAACTATGGCTTGCCCAAGGTCATCCAGCGGCTGCAAGTGGAGGCGTTGGGAATCAGACCCAGTTCTCCCAGATTAGAGGTTGACAGGCTAAACCCCCTCTCCTGTCCCTGCACAGCTCTGAGGCAAACTGAGGCTGCACAAACCTCTCTTTTGCATTCGAGGGGCAGACAGAGCGAGCTCCTTGTCATACCCACTTGCACCCTCCAGAATGAACATGGGATCTTCTGATATGATAGAGATGCTCCGTCCCTGATCCCTCACAATGACTGTGAGGTAAATTGGGCTGACAGATCATTTTGTTGTTGTTGTTCAGTCGCACAGTCGAGTCCAACTCTTCGCGACCCCATGGACCAGATCACGCCAGGCCTTCCTGTCTTCCGCCGTCCTCTGAAGTTGGCTCAACTTCATGTTCATTGCATCTATGACACTGTCTGACCATCTCATCCTTTGCCGTCCCCGTCTTCTTTGACCTTCAGTCTTTCCCAGCATCAGGGTCTTCTCCAGTGAGTGATCCCTTCTCAGTGGGTGGCCAAAGTATCTGAGCTTCAGTTTCATTATCTGGCCTTCCAGGGAACAGTCAGGATTGATTTCTTTTAGGATTGACTGATTTGATCTCCTTGCAGTCCAAGGGACTCTCAAGAGTCTTCTCCAGCACCATAGTTCAAAGGAATCTATTCTTTTGATATGACAGATCATATCTGAGTCATTTAACCAGTTTTTTTGACCACATGGAGATTTGGAAACCAGGTCTCCTGGATCTTCTCCAGATGTCTAACCCTGTCCCCACATTGGTAAGCACTCTTTAAACTCCCCGCCAACGCTCCTGACCTGGATGGCCCAGGCTAGTATGATCACATCAGATCTCAGAAGCTAAGTAGGGTCGGCCCTGGTTAGTTCTTGGATGGGAGACCATCATGGGAGACCACGGTCGCTACGCAGAGGCAGGCAATGGCAAAGCCACCTCTGAATGTCTTTCACCTAGACTTGGGTGCCAGCTTAATCTCATCAGATCTCGGAAGCTAAGCAGGGTCAGCCCTGGTTAGTACTTGGATGGGAGACCACCACGGAAGACCATGGTCGCTACGCAGAGGCAGGCAAGGGCAAAGCCACCTCTGCCTTGAACACTCTACGGGGTCCCCACAAGTTGGCTGCCACTTGATGACGCTTTGCACCACCCTAGCATGGAGCCGTCATCATGTCCAGGTAGTGTTTGGCTGCAAGTATATACAGTAGTACTGTATGGCTGCGAGAGTTGGACCCTAGGGAAGGCCGAGTGCCGAAGAATAGATTCTTTTGAATTCTGGTGCTGGAGAAGACTCTTGACAGCCCCTTGGACTGCAAGGAGATCAAATCAGTCAATCCTAAAGGAAATCGACCCTGACTGTTCCCTGGAAGGCCAGATAATGAAGCTGAAGCTCAAATACTTTGGCCACCCAATGAGAAGGGAGCACTCACTGGAGGAGAAGACCCTGATGCTTGGAAAGACTGAAGGTCAAAGAAGAAGGGGACGGCAAAGGATGAGATGATTAGACAGTGTTATCGAGACAACAAACATGAAATTAAGCAGACTCCAGAGCATGACAGAAGACGGGAGGGCCTGGTGTGATGTGGTCCATGGGGTCGAGAAGAGTCAGACTCAACTATGCCACTGAACAACAACGGCAACAAATATTTTTGCAGCTACTTGTGAGCATAGGTCTAAGGGTCAGAGAGACGACTGCTTTGTCCCCACCTCCAGCAGACCCTGGGAAATGACAAACCGTGTACTCACTCCGCAGACTTCTGCAGTATCTTTCTGATAAAATCCTTTCCATCGTCACTCAGACTAACAAAACCAGGAACGTCCCACGAAATCCTCCCATTCTGTATGTTTAGTAGGGTCGCTCGGTCGTTTTCTCCGGCAAACGGAGATTTGCAGGTCAAACTAGTTGTTTTAAAAGAGATGAAACAAAGCCAACAGACGGAAGTTTGTTCCTGAGAGCCATTCATGAACAAAGAGAAACAGCACGGCCAGCTGATATATCGCTGTCCACATGGTTGTACCGACGGCTGTACCCACAAACATGTTTAATACCTGTTGTAGATTTTCCGAGTTGTATGGCGGTGATCTTGGCATTGTAGGACCTGACGTTTCGCCAGTAGCTGTGACTGGCATCCTCAGAGGTATAACACGGAGAGATGGGGTACTCTCTGTGTCAAGGTGAGAAGAAAATGGTAGGCAGGTAATTTATATCTACTCAGGAAGGTGGGCTAGGGCTGAGTCATTGTCTTGTAAGAGTTCCCCAGGCTGTGACATGCTAATGGCGAAGCTTTCCTGAAGACGTACTTTTGTATATGGATTGTTTCCTGAGGAGGTTTCCTGTTTCCTGAGGAGGTTCTTTTGCATGTGGATTCTAATCTTATCTGTAGCGCTATTGTCAGATGTAGAGCCTTTTGTGTTTTTCAGGACAGGAAACCATGCCCTATTTATTTTTAAAGTCTCTTCTTTCCAATTGAAATTGTGTTTATGTTTATAAATTTCAATGGCTTCCCATTGAAAGCTCTACATCTGACAATGGCGCTACAGATAAGATTAGAATCCACATGCAAAAGAACCTCCTCAGGAAACAGGAAACCTCCTCAGGAAACAATCCACATACAAAAGTACCTCCTCAGGAAAGCTCCTCCATTAGCATGTCACAGCCTGGGGAACTCCTACATGATAATGACTCAGCCCTACCCCACCTTCCTGAGTAGATATAAATTACCTGCCTACCATTTTTTCTTCTTCTCACCTTGACACACAGAGTACTCCATCTTTCTGTGTTATACCTCTGAGGATGCCAGTCACAGCTGCTGGCAAAACGTCAGGGCTTACAATACGGCCATACAGCCCGGAAAATCTACAACAGCTAATGAACTCCGGCTGTTAAAGCCTTCGACAACAAATATGTTTGGTGTTGATCATTTACGGGGCTGGGAGAAAAGAAAACCTGGCCCCACCAACGAAAACTGATAGAAGGGTATGGAGTGTAAAAGTGCCACTCTATCCCAGAGACGATGTGTTCACTGCCCTGAGGGCTGGATGCAGAGTTATTTGGACTCCCCCCTCCACCCAAGAAAATCCCACGCCCCACCCAAGATCTCCTCACCAATATGTTCCTTCTGCTGTTAATATGGAACAGCCTCCATCTTTCTACGTGATTGGGTCAGATGTATACTGCTACATCTACCTTGGCTACGGGATGCCTTAACCAAACCGTCGGAGGACAGCTTTGATCATCGGATCTCACAGTGACTCAGGCCCGTAGCTACAGTGGGGGCATTTCGGGGCTAGGCCCCCTGACTTACTGGCAAGCCCCCCCGACTTCCCATATCCAGGCCGGGGCCCCCGAGCAGGGAAGGAGCCAGGTATTCCATTAATTTGATTAGCCAGTGCCCCCTAAGAAATTTAAATACCCCCCCAACTGAAAAAATCCTGGCTACGGGCCTGCAGTGACTAGGTGGAAAAGGTCACTGTTGCCCCACTTAAGAGACAGGGTTTGTTACCTGGTGAGACAATGAACTATGAATACATTAGTCATTGTGCAAGTCCCCATTACACATGGATGGCCAAAGAGTAACCATGAGCTCGTTGCGATCGTCACAAAATTCGTGTCCAGAAGCACCGTAGAGACCAACAAGATTTTAGGGGTATAAGCTTTGGAAAGTCAACGTTTCCCTTCGTCCAACCTGTATCTGACAAAGAGAGCTTTGGCTCTCAAAAATGTATACCTTGAAAGTCTTGTTGGCTTCTGGGGTAATACTGGACTGAAATCTAGCTGTTCTCCTGATTACCAACACAGATACCCTCTGAAACGATAGTTATTGCCCCATACAGGGACAATTCTTTAGGCCTTATTTAGAACTACCTTTGATAACGTAAAAATGAAGATGGTCTTGGCTCTCAATCGGCTTACCTTAAATAGCTGATAACGCCAACAGGCCTGAAGAGAGAAAACAAGTTTCAAAAGCGACATTAGTGCCCATGGAATCTACAGACGATTTCACCCCTTTCACAGGGGAATAGCCTTTAAATAAAGATTTTGTTTTCTACTTGATGCCAACAAAGAAGGACTTTAAGCAGGGAGATCCTTAAACAGGTCCCCCAGGCCCCCCCCCACTTTTTTGAGCTTACAGGGACCTTTGACATTCCTGCACAGTGTGGCGGGCCCAGCCACAAAATGGCTGCCACAGGAGGCCAAGCTAGCCACAAAGTGGCTCCCGCAACTTATCTCAGTCACACAATGACTGTGGTGGCTGCCAAAGCAACATTTTTAAAGAATCCGCACAATCAAATCTCCAACGGCCAGTCATAGGCCTCACTGGGCAAAAGCTCCGCTTGACCCCATCAACTTCCTAAAAACACTTGGCGGTGGGGATGCCAGACCCCCTGGTGGGGGCAGGGGTCCCCCACTGCCAGGCCCCACCTCTCTGTCTCTGATCAGCTAGCCGGAAGGGGGGGACTTACCTCCCAAAAAAGGGAGGAACGCCCAACATTTCAGCAACGTGTCGACATGGGTATAGGAGGGTATTTCCTAACTAGGCACCTAACAGCAGGCTCTTCTTGGATTCGGCGGTGGGTTCGATGGTGGTTCTTTTTTTCTCATTTCCATCAAGGCAGTAGCGGCTCCTTTCTAGCAGATGGCTCCCACAGAACACGAACGAGGCAGCTCGATTCTTTGTCCAATCGGCTCCAGTCTTCGTTGCAGCGTCACGCTCTCCAGGCACTGGTTTTCGTACTCGGGCTCGTTGCTCGCCGCTTGCCGTCATCTTGGTCTTCTCTTCATCAATTCATCACCATTGCCGCTGCCTTTTAACACCGATCACGGAGGAAAGGTGCCCCCCGCTCATAAGGAGCAGGTACCCATTTACCTACTTGCCCATGCAGGCTTTCGGACCGCTGGGTGGGCGGGAGCTGGGACAAAGGGCCGGGAGCTCACCCCGGCCGCGGTGGGACTCGAACTGCCGTCAGTAGTTCGGCTAGATTAACCTGCAGGCTTTTTAACGCCATGCGCCACCGCTCCCTTCCATTCTGAAATCACTGACTCAGCACTCAGCAAGGCTGTGTAAGCCCATCAGACCAGGTTTTTGTTCGTGCACCCCGATGGAAAGATATTGAGGTCCTCAGTGGAGTAAAGGTTTGATCATATGAATGGAGTTTCCCAAAACTCTAAAGCCTAAGAGCGGCCAGTTAGTTGGGACAGACTACTATTACATAAGACAAGAGATCTTGAAGAGGCTTGAAGAGATAACTTGGAAATATAGGCCGATGTGCTTCGGACAACATTGACTACAAGGTACCATACCCCTGAGATCAACCTATTTTTGTGTAAGCCGCCCTGCGCCCGTTCGCGGGAAGGGCGGGGTATAAATGCAATGAAATAAATAAATAAATAAATCCTGTCCAATAACTGTAAGTATCCACAGGAAGTTCTGTTCTGTGTAGCAACCTCTCATCAAAATACCGGTGTTACAGGCACATAAACCAATCTGGTATCACCGATTAGCATCACTCGTTGGGGCCAAACCAGATGTGGTGTGGACAGCCATTCAAGCTCATTCGTGTGTCTGTCCAATTCAGATATAAAGCAATGGATGGGGGTCTAAATGTTTACATCAAAAGGGTTGGAATCAAAGTCCTATGAGGAAAAGCTGAAAGAGTTGGGTCTGAGCCTGCGAAAGAGAAGGCTTAGAGGAGACATGATGGCAGTCTTCAAATATTTGAAGGGTCGTCATGTAGAAGATGGAGCAGATCTATTCTCTCTTGCTCCAGATTGCAAGACTAGATCTAAGGCAGTGGTGGCGAACCTATGGCACGTGTGCCAGAGGTGGCACTCAGAGCCCTCTCTGTGGGCACGTGTGCCATCGCCCCAGCCAGGCCCAGACCATCATTAAAGTGTGGAATTCTCTGCCAAAGTAAATGAAAGCATTTGGGATTGCTTTCCTTGCTTTGTTTGGATCATCTTATGTTAATGTAGGAGTTGTTTTTTTTCTAAAGTAAAACCTCAGTATTCAGGTTAAATTGCCGCGTTGGCACTTTGCGATAAATAAGTGGGTTTTGGGACGCAGTTTGGGCACTCGGTCTCTAAAAGGTTCGACATAATTGATCTAAGGGGTGGAATTTACAAGGGAGTCGATACCGGCTAAATATCAGGAGAAACTTCCTAACTGTAAGAGTGGTTGAGCAGTGGAACAGACTGCCTCGGGAGGTGGTGGATGCTCCTTCGCTGAATGTTTTTGGGTATGCTGCAGACTATCTTTCAGCTATGCTCCTGCAGAGTGCAGGGGGTTCGACTAGATGACCTGCAAGGTCCCTCCCAACTCTAACATTCTACGGTTCTATGAGCAGATGACTGATGAGAACACATCCTAGGTGGACGTGGAACTCTAAAAGTATCCTGCATTTAATAGTAATATACATATATGTAGGTATTTTACCAGATATCAGATGCCTTGGACACTGGTGACTGTGAGAGAATTTCTGGGGAGACAAACTCCGGAGACCCGTATTTACTGTACTGCGGTTCAGATGGGTTTATCTTTTGAGCAAACCCAAAATCGCAGATCTTAATGTCGTCTTTGTCGTCGTAAACCATCAAGATGTTTGAGGGCTGTGGAAATAGAAAAAGGGCGGGGGAGACGTGTATGTACGAGAGCCTGAAGCTTACCATTCCTTGAGCCCCCAAGGTCATCTGGCCCCACCCGCACCTGGACAGCAGACGTAGGGATTGGAAACTTGACTTTCCCCCAAAAAACCCCGAACTGGCCAACCTTCCAAGGAGCCTCTGCCTTCACTTTCCTCTTGATGGGCCCCTGCCTGGCTCTTATAGGCCTTCTGTTAAGCTGTAACAAGAGAGGCCTGCAACTTTGCCCAGTAGCTGGGAATCTATATCAAGTGGAGTCAGTTGGGCTGGGGGGTCTCCTGCTGCCAGGCCCCACCAAAAAAGGGAGTATTGCCTGGCATTTCTGCGATGTGCCTACGTGACCTGGAAGTGTTGGGGATGATGCTCTGGTTTTGGGGGGGAAACTCTATGGTAGGAGCTAATTCTACCATAGAGTTTTGCCTAAAAGCCAGAGCATCACCTCCCAGCATCCCCAACATGCCTACCTCACTTCTGGGTCAGGTAGGCACATTGCGGAAGTGCTGGGCATCCCTCCCTGCTCCTGGTACGTGCATCTCCTTTCCCTCTCTAGCTGCTCAGAGAGACCTGGCAACCTGAATTATGGGGCACACAGTCATTGGGATGGGGGCATAACTTTGGCACTATACACGAAAAAGAAGTGGCCTCTGTCTCAGGCCTAGGAGAAATATGTTCCAGAAGACTTGAAGTTAGGGTTCCCATTTGCCTGCTTATGGTGGGAGACCTCCAGCTGATGGCAGCCCTCGTCCGCCGATGCTCAGCTGATCCTGGGGAGGAAAACTGAAAAGAAAAGGGGGGGGCTCAGCTACTTACAGGAAGTTCTGGCCACAGAATTCCTGATGATTCCTAGAGTTACTATAAGTGACAAGGGCAGCTCTAGGAATTGTCAGGAAGTCTGTGGTCAGAACTTCCTGTAAGTTGCTGAGGCCTTTTTTTCCCCCTCTCCCTGGACACAACCCTCCTGCCAGCAACCTGACCTGAAGTGTTAACTGAATCCTCAGAATATGGGGACGTAGGCCGTGGAGACCATTGCTCCAAACTGAGGCCCTTGAACTCCGGATCTTGCTCATCTTCTTTCTTCACACCAAACACCAGATAGTTAGTAGTAAAGGTAGAGATAAAGGTTTCCCTTGCTCAAAAGCTACTTGAATCCGACTCTAGGGGGCGGTGCTTATCTCCGGTTCCAAGCCGAAGAGCCAGCATTGTCCGAAGACGTTTCTGTGGTCATGTGGCCGGCATGACTAAACGCTGGCACATTCCCACCGAAGCGGTACCTATTTATTTACTTGCAATTTCTTGCTTTTGAACTGCTAGGTTGGCAGGAGCTGGGGCCAGAGATGGGAGCTCACTTTGTCATGCGGCACTAGGGTCCCGAACTGCCGAGGTACAGACCTTCCAATCTGCAGCTCACTGTCTTAACCTCTGAGTACTCAAGGGTTTATGCTCATTTTGTGGCTTTCATCCCTCTTAGAAGGGGAAATACGACCCAAAAACTTTATAATACACTTCCAAAATTGTCCTTTACAGCGGAATATCCCCACAGACACCCTAACACGTCTCCAAGAAATGCTTCCTGCAGCTCATGAAACAGTTCCCACCACTGCGGAGATGAACGGACGATGAATCTCTGCGAAGCTTACCTTAATGTCCAAGTGAAGTATTTGGTTCTCATGGATGTATGCAATCCCTTCTAAAAGCTGTTTAATATATAGCTTGACCTAGAAGTGAAAAAAAATAATCAAACAGATTAATAGGGGATTTGCTTAGGTTTCACAATAAAGAAGAAGAAGAAGAAGAAGAAGAAGAAGAAGAAGAAGAAGAAGAAGAAGAAGAAGAAGAAGAAGAAGAAGAAGAAGAAGA